AACATATCACTCACAGGAGTGAGTGTATCTTGCTCACGTTGCTAAGTATTTCGGTTGGAAATAAAAAATTATGCCTAGATTGGGTACAATTTTGGGCTGCATTGAGGTTGGACAAAGCTGAAATTGCTAACGTTATTTCCTAGGTACTTCAGCTGCCTCAGTCCTGCAGGAATAAACATCCTCCCTCAGAAGAGTGACAGTAGGGTAAATACACCACTTCACCGCTTCATGACCCTACAGAGAAAGTTCTCATTGGCAAGGCAACCTTTCCATCCCAAGTTAACTCATTATTCATCAACATGCAAGATACACACTGCCAATCAAATAAACACGCTATTTAAGGTGATGCCTACGATGCTTTTGACAGAACAAGATGTACTACTCATGTAAATTACATTTGTGCAGAGCACGCAGGGATAGAGACTGACTCATCATAAAATCTCATTGCACTTTTTCTCTGAAGAATGTAAAATCTTACACTCTGGCATGATCAGAAAACAGATTTTCCCCTTTTGTAGAAATGAAGCCACTTACATTTATTGTAGCACCGTAAAACCCATGTAAATTTTTTTTTTTATTCCAGAGCACAGGATGAAATACCTGGTTATAAACTAAGCTGTATCTATGATAATGATATCCTTCCTAAAACACATCACTTTGGAAACCCTTGTGTATTCATAAAGAGTAACTAGGAGATGTTCACAAATTTGCATTTAAACATAAAACTCACTGAAGATGTCTTGTTCGTTATATCACTTTCAGTATAATACAGTAAGAACAGCCTGAAGTATTTCCAAAGGAACAAAATTTATGAAACAATCATTTTCATTACATGCAACCAAGCCCCATTTTTTAGTCTAAAACTTAAAACAGTTGAATAAAAAAATATTAATTAAAAAATTAATATCTTTATCTCCTTTCTGAACTGAATATCTTCATCCCCTTTCTGAGCTTAAAAATAATTAACAAGCCTTTATATTTCTAATAGTCCCATAATCTGTAAATATAAAAATTCAGGTGCAAGAAGGAAGAAAATGTTGATTAAGAGTCAGCAGAATGGAAGGAGAGGCATTCTTTTTAGCCCATCTGAAAGATACTACACCAGTACAATGAATGCAGTAAATGTCACAGTAGCTATATAAACTCAAATGCTGCATTTGAATACTTCTGCTGGCAACTAAAGTCCTGCATCTGGCATGCTGGTTACTACAAACGTCATCCTACTAGAAGAAAAGCTTGACACACCCATATATAATCAAAATGCTTCTATAGCTTTTTCTTCTATATAAAAGGAAGATTCAAGGTTGCTAAGCATACTTCAAAAACATCTGGGCAAAGCCTGGAAGAGCATAAGACTTGCCTCCAGCTATTGTCAAAGTTTAGTCCAAGTTTATAAATGCCACACCTTGCCTGACTGAAGCCAATAGGAACGTCGAAGGAAATTCAGTTCTGGCTTCTTAATTCACCCTGAAAATTATCCACATGCATCTGCAAGAGATACCCAAGATAATTTTACATACATCAGGTATATGTAAGACCAAGGCTGAAGTAATTTTTGTAACACAAATTCATAAACTTAATTTTATTTCAATTCTGATTCAGAGCAATACATTGTAAAAACACAGTCTTTTTAAAAAGTATCTTTCCATCAGCTATAAAAATATCTTCCTTTGTGTATAACCAAACACAAAACACAGGTAACCACTCATCATAGAAGTGATCTAGAGCATAGGGGTCATTCACCCCAAATGAAAATTGTAGAGCAAAAATAGATGATGAGTATCTGGAATGGAAGCAATAACATTTCTAACAGAAGTATCTTTAATAGAAATAGAAAAGCAAACCAGTTATTTACTATATGGTTTTATAAGTCCTTTATATCACCTCATGGGAGAAGTATTTCCGAGAGGAATCTGCATTATGTGTGTAGAATAACAACTTACATGTAGAATAACAACCTCCATTTTTTTACTGAAAATGTTGAATTTACCTACCCGGTCTGACAATGAAAAAAAATTATTACAAAAACTGTGATGTTTAACTGAGACCGAACAAACATTCCTCTCATGTAGTCATATGCAGTAAGTATGAAATTTAACTTGATTGCATCTATACATTTATAAAATATCTCTTGTTTATGGCAAATATTTTTCACACAGGGTAACAGTTCTGCTTCCACTCTTCCTCTTCAAAAGATAACCCTAATGTCTGTGACAAGAATTTCAAGTTCATTCATGGCCAAATACTGCATTTGGATTTCTTGGAGTTAAGGTTATGAAAAGGAATGCTTCTTTGTTCCAAGAGAAGTGCCTCCAATTCAATGTGATGCATTAAAAAAATAAGGTGAGAATCCAAAGAGTTGACATGATGATGTGATAAAACTTTCAGATTTTATGGGAAGAAGCATTCCTCAGTTTCCTTTTCGTAAATGAAAAACATATATGCACAGCGTGAAGAAACATAATATCCCTAAGTATGTAAAATATGCCAGCTTGAACATTTTATAGTTTAATGAAAAATATTTTTCAGAAGAATACTTTATATTATGTTTGCCGGAAAAAAATAAAAATCTTTTATTTTCTCAATATTACAGTCCTATCCCATCACCTTTTTTTTCCTAGCTGGAAAAAAACAGCATTGGGATATTTATGCATTGTGAATTAGGAGGACTATTTTTTACTGGCTATCAAAATTTTAATGGCATTAGCTCTAGTTGTAACATGTTTTCACTACATGAAAATGTGGAAAGTAATAAAATGAATATAGACCCTCATCAGTACCAGTGAGGCTTTATGTCAGTCACGGGATTACTCACATTGTCTGTTACAGACCATGATCAGACAACAGGACAAACCTCTTTTTCCACTGACATGAATATAAATTTTGCTATTGTGATACAGAATATGGATTTAATATGTAGAAGCTCTAAGTAATTCTTTAGCTTTCATTTTGTTGAATCTGGTACTTCCTGCTTTAGGAGTGTATTTAGACATCTATAATTCCCATCTAGTGCAGATATATGTGTAAACCGAGATTAAGGCATGCCAATCTATACAAGAATTTAATTTAACCCTTAGTTAATACCTGAAGAAAGGTTGTCTGCAGTACATTTCTCACGAAGGTAAACATTCTCCTTTATCCTCCCGCAAAATAGAAACAATTACCACAGTTTGGGTTTCGGATTGGAACCTCCAGGCCCAGAAAGGATAGAATATAGCAACAGATCTCTTTATTAGCTAATCACAACTATCCGCAGGTTTAACTTGCCATCAGAGTGCTACTTGGTATCCCCTGTTTACACCTTGAATCTGCAAAGCTACCACAATGTTGGTGGAAGCTATTCCTGGCTATCAGTAATCTAAATGAAAAGACAAATCAGGTTCCCCGATTTACAGACTATTACACTAATACTCTTAAAAATCTCTAAACTGTCTAATGCTTGAGCAGCTTTGGCAATTGTGCTGCACATACTTAGTAGCAGCACAAAAATAATGCATCAGTTCTATAAAACTGCAAAATACTCATAATTAGAAAGAAATATTATTGATGCACTGCTTTTCCTTTTCACTTCTTTTCCGTGCGTGGAAAACCAAAGATGACTATAGGAACAGGGCAAGTACGTCCATTATTTCTGTTTAGTCACTTTGATTTATCTTATAAAAATAAACCTGTTAAATCAGAGTTCACCTGTAGGTTGTCTTTGGTAAGACTCTAATCATTTACCCATTAATGCAGGATAAAGATGATGAGCCACAAAACTGACTTTGGAAACCTTTTCATCTTCTCATTCCTGGGCATAATGCATAAAGTGCAGTAGCTTGCTCAATCACAATGGCTGTTGAATTCTTCAGGAAAGGAGCAATGAAATTTAAATTCGTTTGAATGTGCAGGTAACAAATCACAAGGATGGGAAAAGGGAAGGTGCATGGAAAGAGGGGTAGACTTCTTCAGATGTTTTGAGATGAGTACTTGTTCTCAAAACCTGAAAATAATGAACACTGTTGCAGAAACCAGCCCCTTGGATGATGAAGCAAGAACGATACAAGAAAGTAAGAGGAGAGGAGAGAGATTCAGCCCTGATCTCCAAAGAGGACCTATTTTCATTCTTATATTTGTGGTATGGGGCTTCTCCTTTGGTAGAGGACTAGTCCTAACGAACGACAGCCAGTCAGACATTTCACCTCTCATTCTCTTAAGTGTTATCTTTCAGATTTGTCTTGACTTTTACAAAGTTTACTCTCTTTTTGCTAAAGACCATTTTTAACATTTTCTTTCTAAATCACGCTTCTGGGTCTCTCCAAGAGCGTGAGGGTTGGGATTAGGAAGCTCAATTCCCCCACTCGTTCTTTCGTAATCACATATTCTAATTATCCAGGCGATGTTAAGTTTGGACTAGGTTTTGGATTTAGGCTTAGAAATCAGGAGTTTTCTAACCTTTATGGCCAAGGAAGGATTTACTCGGAATGGTGTGCCTATCAACATAGCAATACCCAAACGCAGAGAACCTGCTACTCTTAAACATTAGCAGAAACCCTATTTTAGTGCCGCCTCTCTGGGAGGGAAGCAGACAGAAATCCTCGAGGGCCAGGTGGCTGGAGGGATCAGAACAGGAGCCAAAAAAAAAAAAAAAGAAATCTGAGAAACTGGTGATTTATTGGGAGCGAGTGTCCTGAAAAAGATTCGGCCCCTTCTGCTGGAGCTGCCTGGCAATGTGGCACCGAGGAAAGTCACGTTGGCTTTGCAGGCAGCCGGTTTCGCGCAGGTGAAGAAACTTTCCGGCAGATTAAGGCCAGGTGTACCCGGAATGTAATCACGCAATTAGCGAGGCTGCCGGGGAGGCACCACCCCACCCCGCTTTCCTTTGTGAGGGAACGAGATGGGACGCGGCTGCGGGGTGGGGGTTCCCGTCAGGGACTCCGGCTCCTTCCCTCAGTGGGGAGCGCACCGCCCCCCCCCCTCAGTACCCCGGGAGCGGGTGGGTGGCTGAGGGGGGCGGCTGAGGGAGGGGGGCGGCCCCCGCTCCCGCCGCCGGGCCGGGGCGCCATGCCGCTGGCTCCGCCCGCACCACATGACTCCGCCGTCGGGAAGAAACTTTTTCCCGTCCCGCTGTCGGAAAATGGCGGCGTAGGAACGGGGCTCCCGCATCCCCGGCCCGGTCCGACCGCTTTTCCCCCCCCTTCCCCCAGCGCCATGACCCGCTGGGTTCCCACCAAAAGGGAGGAAAAATACGGCGTAGGTGAGGACCCTCCCGGCCCCGCTCCCGTTTCTCTGCCGCGGGCCTTCCCCCCTCCCGATCCCTCCCCCCCTCCTTCCCCCCCCCCCCCCCCCCCAATCCCTCGGCTGCCCCGGAGCCGGTCTCCGGCGGCCGCTGCTTTCGGCGGGCCGGGGCCGCGCTTCCCCGGGCACCGGGTTTTCCTCGGAAAACCTCCTCGTCCAGCGGCGGGGTGCGGGGTGGGCCGGTGCCCCCCGGGTCCCCCCCGCCGGCTGCCGCCCCCCGCCCGCCCGCCGGCGATTTCCTGAGGGAAAGTTTAGAAGCTGTCCGGAGACGCCGGGCAACCAGCGCTTGAGTCGGCTTCGTTAAAAAAAAGTTGCTTTTTCTTCTATGTATTATTTTTTCCTTCCTGAGTACTACTTTGTTTGAATAGAAGAGGGCTTTGAGTAGTTTTTACGTTAGTTTCTTTCCTCCCCCCACCCCGCGATGGCAGCTAAACAGGATACGCTTCCAGTGCTGGATCCTCGGTGGGAGCTGTGCAGGGTCGCTGGGAAGCGATGCCCAGTGCTCCCTCCTCTGTATCCCTCCTGAGGAGAGAAAGGTTTTCAAGGCTACCGAAAGAAAAAGCTCATCATTTTGCAGGGAGAGTGATTTTTATACAGATGAGGGGTTTCCCCTGCGCGCTGCTGTCCGGGGATCCATTTCGTACTCTGCTTCTTCCGTCCCTCTCAAACAGAGGGGGATTGTTCTCTGCCGGTAGTTAAAACATCTCCACTGTAATTAAACGGATCCGAACTCGGGGCGGTTTTGGGCAGTGTTGTGCCGAGAGGGCCCGTCTTGCTTTTGAGGATGTTTCGTTTTGATCAAAAGCTTTTTCCTAGGGGTTATGGAGAAGAAAACTTTGTTGGCGTGAGTGAGAATATTTGTCTTGGGGAAGGAAATGATAAATCTGACTCTTCAATTTGGAAATTTAAAATGCAATTTTGCCACGGTTCTTGGACTCTATTGGTTGTGAAAAACATCTTTCTTGTATGTCCACAGCTAAGCCTTGTATAAGCAACGTGAGCAGGAAGAATGGAGTTTCTGGGTCTAAGTTGAGCCCAAGAGAATTTTAGGAATTAATTTAAATTCTGTGTGTACATCCCTAGAAAACGAGAGCATGACTTTTAAATTACTAGAGAATTCTAGCCAGCCAGTTACACCGTGTGAGACCTGTGAGTAATTTCAGTGCTGAGGATGCAGGACAAATATATGGAAGCAGAAGAGCTACAGATGGCAGTCACTTATTGAGATTTCCAAATAACCTGCTTCGTAGTGTGGGATGGGTAGAGGTATTTCTCAAAGACTGGAATGCCTAAATGGTCACGTAATATATGCTAGTGTTACACACCAGTGACACTCGAAAGCAAGTTCCTCTTTTTCAGGAACTCTTATCGCCGCCGTGGTGGAGGCAATTGCCTGGACCTGGCTTTCCAGGAATTGATGTCTTACAAGTGATTTTGAAAGGGTGAGAGAACAAGTGTGCAATAAACTGAATGTTTAAAAATATACTTTATTTGGATATCCACTGTGGGAAACTGTATGTGTAGTAAGAGAACTAGACTTAAATGTAATGTTAGAAAAAAAAAATATTTCGCAGTTCTAAAAAGCACAAGACTGTGTGCTCGATTGGTGCTCAACTGGTATTTTTTGTTGGTGTCCACTGCTCTGGAGAGAAGTTTGTCATGGTTTATTAATAGTTTGTTTTTCTATGATAGTTTTTTTTTTTTTTTTCTTGCAAGTTAGCTGAGAGGGATGATCATTGGCAAAATTAGGGTATTTATCTGCTGAACTGCAGGGGTGTGAGAGTTGAAAGTAGATGTGGTGTTGCAAGGAGGTAAAATCGGATTTGGAGCTAATTGGACGTTGTGATTCACTGGCCTGTGCTATGCTGTTAGATGCTGTTTTGGGAGGGATAGCTTCTTTTTGGTGTCACTGGGGTTTCCTCCTGAGGAAGGTGAATGTTCAGCTTGGTTATACTTGTTTTAAACGCCTTTGTGTTGTTGAAAAAGGGTGCTTTTGTACACTGCGAGATTTCTGATGTTTTATTTTTTGCTGCTTGTGAAACTTTCAGGTTGTGGCGAAATTGATGCGGAAGTAACATAGTCTCAGACATGAATGGAGGAGGCACTGTTAAACTGAGCATGCTAACATATGAATATTTTTCTTCCTAACTATTTCCCATGACCGGTCCTGGAGACTGACTTTGGATCAGTATTGTCTGACAGTGAAACAGAAACATTTGCGTGTTCCCAAATAGGATTGTTAATTGAACTGTCATCTTGGTGACATGTGTATGTAATATACTTAGGGTGTATATTTCACTAAAGCAGAAATAACAAAGTATCTATTGTATTTTACATTATTTATGTCACAGCTGTGGGAGCTCAGAAATGTGTGTATGTATACGCACGTGTGTATATATACATATAAGATGTGTGTATATAAAATAGGCACATGTGTATACATAATACCTATATATACTTTTTTCTTCCTCTTGACTAGTGTGTGCGACTAAGCTTGCTTAACATCTTGAGTCCTGAAGATTTTCTGGCAGCATACAGGTGCATTAAGAAACGCTCCTCCTGCTCAACCCACTCCACCTTGCACGGTGGGGTTTGCAGATGATGCTGGATGTCCAGCGTACGTGTAAACTAAACTTACTGCCTTAAAATGAGGAGTGCTGCCGCATAATGCATAGGCGTTATCTCAGCAGGCAGTTGTGAGCGTGACTCAGCTCCACTTCCTGAGGGAATTCAGGGCTCAGCGCGCGGGGAGGTTGGATGGGGAATGGGAGTGGATATAAGGCGATAATACAGTTGTTAGATTAACATATGGGGAACCATCCGAAACGGGAAAACGACTGGCTTAATTGCGGTAGCTTTTCTCAGCTCCTGATGCTGCGTATCCCCCTTCGTCTCAGCGTCTGGCTCTGGGTTTCGGCTCTCGCCCCCAGAGCGGGTGGGAAGGCATGAGGTGGTGGCGAGATGGGCATCTGGGTGTGTGGCTTCCTCAGCAGGGACATTAGAGGCTTTTAGGGAGCCTCGGAGGCTGCTTATGTCCGCTGCGTACCCTCAGCGTCCCAAGCGGCTGCGGAGTGTGGCTGTTCAGTCTCACGTTTCCTGCTTTTAGTGTGATACAAAAATGGTAATTTTGGTGTACTTCCTTATGCCAGCGGAGAGGAGAGGTAATGAGCTGCTTTAGGAAGTCTGTGAGCCTGAATAGGGCTTCTGAGATAGCATGAAGTGTCTCTAGTAACTTCCAAATCCTCTCGATTCTTCTGTCATTTGACCCTTCTCCTTTGCACTTAAAACTGCAGTGAGAGGTAGAACTGGCACTACTGCGGTTACTACAGATACTGTATTTAAAATGCCATTGTGTTCAACAGTATGTGCAGATATGGAGTAATTAAACCACTAGTGTGATAGTTTAATTCCTTTTTTTTTTTTTTCTTAATGTTGAAATAGAAAAATAGTGTGTCCATGCATGGTCAGGTGTAGAAAGAGAACTTCTTGGCTACAGGGCTTGTGCTCTGTGAGAGATCCTCTTAATTTTTGGATGCTGATACTGCTTTCCTCTGCTACTCCTAAGGAGTCCTTGGAAAACATGGATAGTCATGCCCTTGCCGTGAGCAATAAGCCAGTGGGGGCTCTGACTGGCAGGCAAGGTGCTCCTGGATTTGGACAGCTTCATAAATGCAAAGCCTTGATGAAGAAAGGGCTGGATATCTGTATGGGAAGGTGCATTGACTGTTGCTACTTCAGGACAGCAGGTTATGTCTGGGTAGGTGCTTCCTAATGCCGTGTATTAGGTCAAAGATAACGTACGTGTCAAGGATACTAGCTTTATAAAAATAGTCTGTACTTTTGTGACTGAATATATACAGTTGTTGGACTTCCATTGCATGTCTGGGTGCTGTTAGTCTTTTCCCGAAGTGGATGGGGTGCTGCAAGTACTTGAGACGGTATCTGTTGTTCTTAATCCTCAGCCAGTATCATGAAATCTGCTCAGGTACACTCTATGCTGCCTAGGGTGCATGTCTACATGTGCATTAATTAAAAACCCAACCAAAGAAACAATAACAAGCAAACAAAAAAACTCAGCCTACAAACTAAACCAATTTTACTGGGAGCCACACCAGTTGGGAGTTCCTGTACTTTTGCTTGTTACTGGTGAGATTTTGTTGCATGTCATGACGGGGCAAATCATAACTTGCTGGATTTTAGATGCTTTGAAACAGGATGGACTTTGGCTGCATTTCGAGGTTAGAGTATTTTATAGTGCCTCTCTGAAATTGGGATAGCTTTTCAAAAGGTATATATAAAAGCATCTTCAAACCAGGTATACAGAAATATATATATTTTTTTTTCTTATTATTAGGGGAGGGCTATAACAAGTTGGTGGACTAAGTGGTGATTCGAAGGTCATGATATATAAGTTTTTCAAATGAGTTCTGCCCTTGTAATGGCCCTTTGAAAGGGGGAGGATGGGGATTTGCTAAGAGCGGTGCTGTTGAAAGCACAGGGATTCCTACGGCCAAGCACTGCTGCTTTGCTTCTGCTGCTTGAGGGAGGCCTGCAGTGGTTTAGGACAGATTTAAGGCTTTTGTGGAATCCTGCATTTAGACTCCCCAACTGCAGTGAGTGGTGTGGCCCATGGCGACTGTCTTGCTTAGTAAGAGAGTTGATCTTGTGCTTGCATATTTGTGCCTTAAAACAGGAAAGAAAAAGTTTTTAGGAGATAGGAAAAGATGCGTTTTAGGAATTTTAGTGGTGCTGTGTTGTGAGGTTTGGGGCCGTCTGGCAGGGCAGGACGGTTACCTTTGTACTGTTGCTGACAGCAGGACTGCGTTCAGACACGTCCCAAACCGATGGAGTAAAAACACCCGTGCAACATTTGCTGATGTATTTATCAGTGCATTACCAGGTTGAGAAAACACGTGCAGATTCAGTCTCCTAGAGACAGCATACCCTGCTGTATGCCCA